GTGGTAGGGGCAGGGGCTGGGGTTGCTCTCCAGCCCAGGTGGTGAACGGGACCTGGGGCTGGGGCAGAGGCAGGGAGCAGAATGGAGCTGCAAGCAGCTAACTTGTCCAGGGAGTGCGGGAGTTGGGTGGGGAGGCTCCCCACTGCTGCGTGCACCCCCTGGGGGAAGCATGGGGCGCATGTGCCCCCACAGATTTGTGCGGGGCAGATGCAGGCTGCCCACTGAGGGCTTGGGGCTCCCCACCTTTCTGCCTTTCCCTCCAGAGCCCTACACTGGCTGTGTGTCCCCTGCCTGCCTGGCTGCAGTGGGGGGTGGCAAGTTGTGCCTCCCACTGCTGGATGGGCAGGGGACAGGTGGCTGATGCGGAGCCCCTGGGGCAAAGACAGAAGAGAGGAGAGCCCTGAGCCCACAGTGGGCAGCCCACATCCACCATTACCTCCACACTTGGCTCCGCTCTGGTTAAAAGCATCCCCTTGCTTTAAAATGGTGGCAGCAGCACTCATTCGATGAGCTTTAGTTCAAGTGGCACCACCATGATTTTTAAATGCCAAGACACTGATCCCCTGGACAAGCTGCTCGCAGCTCTGTTCTGCTCCCTGCCCTGGGTCCCATTCACTGCCCTGGCTGGGCAGCGCCCCCAGCCTCTGCTGCTACCCCACTCCCTTCCTCACCGTGGGGACCTCAATCTGCTCCCCCATCCCCCCACGTCCCTTCCCTCCCCCACAGCCCTTCCCCTTCACAGAGTTACCTGCAGGGCACTGCCCTCCATGCTGCCCAACTGCATTCCTGTAAATCAGTTATCGGATTGGTATCAGCTGATATGGCTGGTTAATAATCAGTTATTGGTATCAGCCATAAAAGTCTTCATTGGTGTACCCCAACAATTTCCATGAGTGCTTATGCCTGGTAGGCACACAGAGGTTTTCCTTCAAGTGAGGTAGAATTTCCCTGTATGTACCAACAAGTCCCTTACAAGTCAGTGGTACTATAAAGAACTTGCTCCATAAACATGTATGGAAATGTGAGGCCAGAGTCAAAAGTGCTTGGTACTCTACAGTTTAGGCCATTCACAGCAGGAGCTGTGGGACACTGAATATTTTTGAAAATCTGACCACAGGTGCCCATAAAAATAGATCACAATGATAAGCATCTGTTCATAAAAGAAGGGTATGACTGAAATGCAATGAAACCAGAATGAGTGGCAATCTCTGTATAGCTTGCTTTCTTCTTTTTTTTTTTTTTCTTTCATCAGGGATAGGGAAGATCACACATAGTCAAGTATTCTAGAGGGGCTAGAAAAAATGATAAACCATGCATGGGAGCATGTAGGAATAGCATGCATTATTGATATAAAAGGAAAGAAACGAAAGCAGAAGGCTGTCCTTGGCGAGACAATCTGGTTAGCCAAAAAGATGCAGTGAGAAGTACACGGGCCTGAACAGTTGCTTGCACCAAAAGCCTTAATTCTCAGAAATCAATGGGACATCTGTATATAACAACTGGTGAACCATTTTCTAGTCCACCCTTAAAATAAATGTACATATTACAAAGACAATATACAGAGGTCTTCAACAAATGTGAAAACATCTTTCCTAATGTTATACTAATAAAAGCAACATTCTCTCTTTTTGTTAATTGTGCCTGAACGCACTATTAATTTCAATCTAACCCATTTCTGAGGCTATAATTAAAATGACTTAAGGCTACATTAAAAAAAAATGTTACATACCTGTCAAGCTTCTTTTGCAAGACAGCCAAAAATTCATTACAGTTTACAATGTTATCTGGTAGCCCAACATTAAAAGCATGCTCTCTTGCCATGTGATTGAAAAGGACAGACCTATAAAAAGAGTTAAACAGAATGTGAAATATCTGGGCATACATGTGAGAATTATTCAATTAATGCTTACAAAATGCTAATTACAGTAAAAGCGGATATAAGCCAGCATCAAAATAAGCAGCAATAATCATGTTTCTCATAGAAATGTAATTAGTTTGATTTCAACTGAAGTAGAAAGTTTTCAATTTGGGCCCTGTTGCATGTTTCTAAGAAACTTCAAATACTCAATTTACATGTATGAAATACAAGCTGCCCAATGAAAATTAGAAATGCTATTTTGATTCATATTTTTATTACAGCTCATTTGTTAAATTGTACAAACAAACCACCTGTTTCAAACAGGTATCTTGAGAAGTAATAATAAAAGGTTATTTCTCAGTTTGCTCTCTATTTGTTAACAAACAGAGAAACTTTACAGATCTGAGTCACATTTGCAATGATGCCCCTTCAATATAAATGGTCCTTGAAGTACATATAAACAAATACAGATGAAGTTATTTTTATAATGAACCTGTATATTGGTTCGTTTCTGTACAGCCACTTTAGGCATATTTTGCATTCCTGGCTGAATTACAGGGCCCTTAATAACCCATTTTCATTTATATGACAGGGTATAAATGCACAAAATGATGTGGTCACCTAACTGACAGAGATTCAAGGGTTTTCTGTAAAGTCTCTCCTTTTGAAGCTGGAGATTTGGTGGCAAAGGGATTTGAATCCGATTTCTCTCTCTCCACTTATTTATACTAGGTGGAAGAGATTTAACAGGAGAAACTACTGTTGGGGGAGGAGCTGGTCCTCCAGAATACCCAACAGCTCAGCACTTCGGACATCCTCATGAGATTCTCGGGTGCTAATCCCAAACAGAAGCTTCTCAGTCCCACCTCTTTCAAAAGTGGCTAGAAGCCTACTCTTCTCTCCTTGACACTTCTGGCCAACTAGTTTAGGATGCTTTGATTATCATTCTTAGGTGCCTAACTCTCCACATATAATGTACTGGGAGATACAATGCCTAAATAGGGATAAAGGATTTCTCTGGGTGGTTTAACACCCAAAAGTTAGGTACTGCACGAGATTTAGGGGCTAAATCCACAGAAGATACTCATTTTGCAACTGAATAAATCAAGATGCTTCCCATTAGAAAATAACTTCTTTGAAAAGTCTGCCCTGTTCATTTTCTCACCATGCATTAAAATATTTATGGAGAACTTTCAGATAGCTTTCTAAGTATACTGCCAAGGACTTATGAAAAGTCCCTCAATCTCATCATTAGTTCCACATTCCATTTTTGCTTCTTCATATGAAAAGTCATATTTCCTCTTCTTCTCTGCAGCTGTACATAACAGCTTTTAGCTTCCATCTGACAACAATTAGATAGCCCCCCTTCAAATACTTATCTTCAGATTGATCAGAGATGGCATAAAACACAATTCTGTTGACTCCTAATCCTTGGTTTAAAGGTATCACTGAAATAACTTCCCCAGCTCTAGCCATTGTAGAATACAGGTTTCCAGCTTCAAGGATTATATCAACATTATTCTTCAGATGCAGAGTCCTACTTCTGTGCCACTGAGCCAAAACATTTTAAGTCAGCAAAATAAGAATGGGGATATGATGAAGAGTTAAATAAGAAAATAAAGAAAACAAGCCCCAAATACAAACCTATTTCCTGTGAATTCTGTGTCACAGAACATGCATGTACTATGAAAGGTTGCATCATATCTCTCCCGCTGTTGCTGCTCCAGAATTTCTCTCTGTGCAATTAGATAAAGTACTTGAATACTCAGCCAAAAGAAAATGTCGTTAAGATCATTCAGTCATTTGATTTCAAATTGTATTTATGACTATTTTAATTTGGCAACTGAATTTGCAAGTTCAGAACAAAAGCACAAATTTCAAACATTCCAAGAGCATACATCAGTGATTTTCAGCTGGGGTACCATGGCACCATGGCATACTGTGAGATCCTTTGAAAGGCGATGCAGGAGGTCAGGTGGTAAGCACAGGCTCATCCCTGCCCGGCTGTCCCTCCTCCCTCTCTCTCCTCTCCTCCCACCCTCTGGCCTATCTGTATGAGGAGGTAACCAATGTAATAAATAACTTAATTTTTTTTAATGGAATGCTGCTCAATTCTCAAAGTTGTGGAAGGCTGCCCAGAGGCTAAAAAGATTGAGAACCAGTGGCATATATAATGATAGCTTGCCATTTAGAGAAACCTAAAACTCATGTAATGCCATAGAGATTTAGCAAAAACAAATATAAATGAGAACATTATCTAATTTAGCTATTTTAATAAGCTATCACAGAGGGCACATCTACTTGAGATGCTTAATGCGCAGTAGATTAATTCTACTGCGCATTAGCATATTAGCATGGTTTATGCTATGCACGCTAATGTGCAGTAGTATTAATCTACTGCGCAGTAAGCCTTACACAAAAAGCGTGTAATTGCACTTATGGGCAGTATGGCAGCCTACTGTGTGTTTATTTAGTACTCAATTATACAAGTACTAAATTTAATGAGCAGTAGACACTGTGTATTAATGAACATGTAGACGTGCCCAGAATGTATTAAAATAATGGTTTATATGTGAAGCTCAAATTAGCAATGGTACAAGGTAAATTTTAAATTTGATCCTAAACATTCTTAAAATAAGCACAGACAGGCCAAAGGACATTTTTACTGTATACAAGAGAGATCACAAAGTATATCAGTTTCTACAAAGAGTTATGGGGTTTAAGGAACAAACTGGAAAGGGAATACTTGACCATCAGTGCCACTAGCCTTATTTGATTTGGTGCAACAGGTTGGAAATTTCAAAATATCTGGTCATGGAAGTTTAGCAGCAAAGAAAACTAACAGATCATATTGTGACAAATCTTAGAGTATCACTGTAGCAATGCGATAGCAATGTTTGGAAGAAGCATTCCTTTTTTGTCCATTTCAGAACAATGTTTGTAACCTTGTGGAAAGCTTACTGTATTTCCTCACATGCCTCTCTCCCCACCTTGCTTTTGGAAGGGTGAATGTAGAGGGAAAACGTTTTCCAGGGTCATGGTCTAAGCACTGGCTTTTTCATGGAGAAGCTGTTGCAAAATGACTGTAGGTTTCTCTCTCAGCTGAAAACCTAAAAGCAGCTGTGAAAGGGTTAATATTGGACTCCATCCTTCCTCCTTGCTTGCTGAGAGAGAAGCTGACAGCCATTTTGCAACTTAACCCATTTAGCATCTTTAGGCTTCTATTCCAGGAAAGAAAACCCAGGTCACATCTTTTCCCCACTTAAGGTGTACAACCCAAATTTGGAGGAATGATTTTTTGGGGGAAAGTGCATAGGGTATGCGAGGAAATACATTAGCTTTGGCCTAAAATTTCTCATTTTTGTTGTCTGATAGTGTAGACGGTGTTCATTCCCTGTACAGAGTGGGGCTGCAGCATTCTCCAGAATGCTCCTTCTCGATGATCAGCCATCTCTGCCGCCTGGCAAGTGCAGGGACTGTGACAGTAGATACGTCAAAGCACCTCAGCCTATTCCTACTCATTTCTCAGACAAAATCCTATGCTTCGCCTCATATCCTCCAGGTCCATCTCAAACTGTATTATGAAATGCGTTCCAAGGTTAGAACTTACTGGAAACACCAGGCCCCAAATTTATAGAAATTAGGGGTTAGTACTGGCTAGAAGTCTTCCCCAGCTAATCTCAATTTTTGGAGTGAGGCTTGGGGAGAGGATCAGTGATAGTCAGCTTTGAAAATTCACCTGAGCTGCATCCCCACATGCAGGGACATGCATTGCTGTGGCACAAACAGTGGTGGCACATATTTGTGCCACTGCTTTGTGCACTAGGACATGCCCCTGCATGCATGCTCTGGCATGTACCAAATTGTCCTGGGTAGGGTAGG